CTCGGAAAGTATGAATGTTAGGAAAAAAGTGAATACATCCGTGAATGTCCTAATTCAGCTGAACGTTTTCATGTTTGAATGGTTTGAATTGGTTGAAGTTTGTGGAACTAGTAGCGGTCCAACCGTTTTCGCTCCATCTGCTTTAATAGAAGTCGGAATTTTAACGTTGAATTCCCGGGAAAATATTAATGTTATGGAAAAATTTGAAAGTTTCCGATAATGTCCTTATGAAGCTTAATCTGAAGAAGTTTGTATGGTTTGAATCGGTTGAAGTATGTTGAAGATAATTGATGTTGAAAAACGCGGCGGAAGAATAATAATAAGAAGAAAAATAAAGAATTTTGGTAGTAGAAAAACATAGGTTGTGAATGCTTCCAGCATTCACACCCAATAAAGAATTTTGGTAGAAGAAGAACATAGGTTGTGAATGCTTGCAGTATTCACACCCAATAAGAAAAATAAAGAATTTTAGTAGTAGAAGAACATAGGTTGTGAATGCTTGCAGCACTCACACCCAATAAGAAGAAAAATAAATAATTTTGGTAGTAGAAGAACATAGGTTGTGACTGCTTCCAGCATTCACACCCAATAAGAAAAATAAAGAATTTTGGTAGAAGAAGAACATAGGTTGTGAATGCTTGCAGTATTCACACCCAATAATAAACGCACCAAAAACAATAGGGTCCTCGCCTTTGACGAGGACTGCTCTGTGAGCAGTGCTCTGCCTCCGGGCTCGGTCCCTAATTAAAGCTGCAAGCAGCGTTGGGCGGGACCTCGCACTTGCGCCCGTTTCGGCCCCCAGCTTATGTCGTCATTGTGAATTATTTAGAAACATATTGCCACAAACATCAGAAAATCCTTACAGAGCTGAATGTTTTGATGTTTGAATGCTTTCTGTAGCTGTAGGTATGGAGAAGTGATGTCACAATATGCAAATTAGATGAGTTAATTTCTTCCTATCAGGATCCTCTTCCTTTATTTTGAGGAAGAGATGACAAAAACAACACAAAACAAAATAAATCTACTGTGTAAATATGTTCAAAATGTTGTTTTACTGAGATTTATGAAATCCAATATGGCCGCTGCCAAAAAACGGCACAATATGCAAATTAGATGAGTTAATTTACTCCCATGGGTCATGATGGATCCATGGGTCATGATGAATATTTTTCTCATTTACAGTATGCCTTTATCTCTCACCACTTTCAAGCCATCATCTTTTGAAATGTTGAAATGAAAATGGAATATTTTCCTAAATAAACTCTGGCACCAAAAGGGTTAAAATGGAGAATGTGCCCCTGTCATGTCTGCATGTAAGATGTAGACACGCACACACATCATGTTTCTGTGAGTTTGTGTGTGACAGCGGTTGCCATGTACACACCTGGCAGAAGAGCAGAGACAGATAGAGACAGAACACAGAGAAGAGACCTGTTTTAGTGGAGATTTAACTCCTCGAACAAGTTCTTCCCATTCCCAAACCGTTGATAAAGTTATACTGAAGATCTGTTTAGCAGCAGTTGAGGTGGCATGTGTGCGTCTTTAAAGCCGATACAATAAACGGTGTAGGAGGAGATGTTTTATTTAAGAGCATGTTTGAGGCGATATCTTACTTTGAAGGGGCAAATAGCTCACTTACTGTTAGATTTAGGTCATGGGTGTCAGCACGTGATTTGAATGTTGAACACGCCAGTTTTGGTTTGATATTTCTACGACATTCCTATGGGCCGCAGTGGCCATTTTAGTGTGCCTAGGTGGCGCTAGAGAGCCCATTTTGGCACTTTAGGAGTTAATAATGTGTATTTGCTGTTTCAAATGAAGATTCTGCTGTTGTAATCTGTCCTTTAAAGATTGTGAGACACACAGACAGAGAGCTGTGTGGCCGTGTCTGTGTGTGCAGCCGTTGCCATGGCGATTAATGTCTTGCCTGCACCTGAGAGCAGAGAGCTCATGAGAGAGCACATCAGCAAAGGCTGTTTATAATGGGTTTGAACTCCTCGAACAAGTTCTTCTGATTCCCAAACCGTTGGTCCAATAATGAAAATAAAGTGATGGTGAGAGAGATAAACTTCTCGTGAACGCACGTGTTATGTTTTATATGTGTAGAGTCAAAAAGGTGGCCACACGAGCAAGTTACAAATGTGTTGCACCTCAGCTGTTTTCCAGAAATTTCTCCTCTCAGTTTACATGGGAGTGAATGAGATAAAAATCTGCTCTCCCTTCGCTTTGGAGCCACTCATCAAAAATGTGTACTTGTGAGAGATTTCATGTCAACATTTCTGTGACCAGGACAAATTTTCCTACGTTTTGTGGTATAAATTGTGTATGTACAGTGAAAATTGTGGCCATGGCAGCCAGTTAAAGACAAAAGTTTTAGACGATTTTTAGAGCCCTCTCCACTCTAGCTCACAGCATTCCGTGCAATACACACCCATTGTAAACTGACAATTTCTCCACATTTGCACAGATTAAAAACGGTAAAAGATATGAAAAAGATGAAAACATGAGTGAATAGATGAGACCTGTGGCAACATTTGAGAGTTGGAATGGAGTCTGTAGTACAAAGTATGGAGATGCTGTAAAGGCTAGATAAAGCCCTAAGATTGGTCTCTTTCTCCCCCTGCTGCCATTCATTTCCTATGGGACAGCTTTCGAAGATCGTCAGGATGTTTTGTGACATGTCATCTTAAGGAGCCCATAAAATCCAAACCGTTGGAGTAATGAAAAATTTATACAGAAGATCTGATAATCACGACTTGATCTGTCATGTGTGCAAGTTTGAAGCCGATACGATAAACAGTGTAGGAGGAGTTGATATTTTAGGAAGAGCAGTTTTGAGACGAAATTTTACTTTGAAAGGGCAAATAGCTCATTTCCTGTTGGATTTAGGTCAGGGGTGTCAGCATGTGATTTATAGGTCTTGATGAGACAAATACAGCAGTTTTGGTTTGATATTTCTACGACGTTCCTACGGGCCGCAGCGGCCATTTTAGTGTGCCTAGGTGGTGCTAGAGAGCCCATTTTGGCACTTTAGGGGTTAATTTTTTGATTTTCTAAAATTTTTCGCCAGGTCTGACATGCGTGCCAATTTTGGTGAGTTTTTGAGCATGTTTACCACCAAATACATTTTTTGATGGCTTCAGCGACCTCATGTCTTCATGAAAATTGACACACAGGTCAAGAATGGTGAGCTTTTGCATCTAATATGGGCGTCGCCCATGGGGGGGGGACAAAATGCCTCTATAGCGCCCCCTTGAAATTTTCAAAAACCCCTCCCCATAGGGGTTTTTTTGGAGTAGGAACATGAAAATCGGTACACATGTGTATGTTGTCCAGACGCACATAAAAGTCTCTGGCACCAATGGTCTACTCCAAACAAGAAGTCGGCCATTTTGATTTTGATTTGTCATTTTGGCGTGATTTCCACATGTTGTATTTTAACGAACTCGTCCTAGGGATTTCATCCAATCGACTTCAAATTTTTAACAGATTATCCAGAGACCATGCTGATGAAAAGTTATTAAAAGCTTTTCTCTATGTCAAGGGGCGTGTCCCCTATGGCGCCTCCCTCGCCACCAAATACGTTTGGCTTTTTGATGGCTTCATCGACCTCATATCCTCATGAAAATTGATAGACAGGTCAAGAATGTCGAGCTTTTGTATCTGATAGGGGTGTTGCCCATGGGGGGGGGGGACAAAATGCCTCCATAGCGCCCCCTTGAAATTTTCAAAAATCCCTCCCCATAGGGTTTTTTTTTGGAGTTTGAACATGAAAATGGTACACATGTGTATGTTGTCCAGATGCACATAAAAGTCTCTGGCACCAATGGTCTACTCCAAACAGGAAGTTGGCCATTTTGATTTTTTGTCATTTTGGCGTGATTTCCACATGTTGTATTTTAACGAACTAGTCCTAGGGATTTCATCCAATCGACTTCACATTTTTTACAGATCAGGAACAGGAAATGCCCTATTATACATTGACATTGTCCAATTTGCTCGAAACTTCACGTGTGATGAGAGTCCGCCCCTGGACACACCTCGTCACATTTAGTTACCCTCCCAGTGCCTCTGGTGGATGAACGAAACATTGGGTTTTTTTGCTCCTGCCAGGATTTCTCTCCCTTCTTGCTTCGCGCCACAGCCCCTGTGTGCCTCAGGCCCCCATGGTTGCATGGGGGAGCGAGGGCCCGATCACAGCTGCTTGCAGCTTTAATTAGGGCCCGAGCACCTAGCGGTGCGAGGACCCTATTGAAATGCAAGGATTTTTTATTATTAGGGCCTAAGCACCTAGCGGTGCGAGGACCCTATTGAAATGCAAGGATTTTTTATTAGGGCCCGAGCACCTAGCGGTGCAAGGACCCTATTGAAATGCAAGGATTTTTTATTATTATTATTATTAGGGCCCGAGCACCTAGCGGTGCGAGGACCCTATTGAAATGCAAGGATTT